AACAGAACTAGAAAAAAGGGTTAGAAGGCCGCTGAAAATCACTCAGAAATTCCTGAGGTTCCTTCATAATCTCTTGAGAATCTGCAAATGGCATTAATCCATGACCACCTACTCTTCATTTTGGCAGGCCCTGGGGCCCTGCCCTGCTGTGTGTGTGTGTGTGTGTGCACATGCTGTGTGCAGGAACATGCACATGAGCATATAAGAATCTGGGACTCACTGCTTAAGGTTCTAGCAGGGGACTAGATTCCCAGGGCATGATCCTCTCCCCAGGAGCACTTCTACACCAAACCCAGGTCAGTCCTCAACTCAAGGCTTTCCTACAAAAAAAAAGCACCTTGCCCTTCCTGTCTCCTCTAGGATGGGATGGGGAACAAAAATATCTACCTTCGGGAATTGCTCCGTAAATTCCCATGAATGGTGGTGTTTAGTCCACTTCTGGGTCTCCTGGGTTATAAGAGAGAAAAACGTTTGCAGAAGTGCTAGCTCCATGTACAGAAAAATGGAGTTGGACATGGCCCGAACTCTAGCAGGAGTAGGCAAAATTTTCCTGTAAAGGACCAGAGAGGGTGGTTCCATAGAGTAGTGGTTAGCATGTCTGCTTTACACTCAGAAGTTCTTGAGTTTGAACCCCAGTGGAGCCACAGTCCATACTCTAGGTGTGCCAGGCCCTAGGTGTGTGCAGTGTGTGCAGTGAGCATGTGGGAGGAGATGCCCTGCTTTCAGAGATCCACTTAAGGGGAGATAGCAACCAGGGGTGGAAGTAGTGGTGGGTAGGGGGGCGGGATTTAAAAACAAAAAAAGGACCAGTTAATAAAAATTTTAGGGGGCTACATATGGTTTTTGTCGCATATTCTTTTTTTTTATTTGGTTAATTGTGGTAAAATATACCATAAAATATACATTACATTTACTGTTACCATTTTTAAGTGTACAGTTCTGTGGCATTAAGTACATTCACATTATTGTGCAACCATCACCACCATCAGTCTCCAGAACATCTTTTCATGTACCCCAACTGAAATTTTATACCAATTAAACACTAACCCCTCATCCCATTCCTAGTCCAGCCCCTGGCAACCACCATTCTGCTTTCTGTCTCTATGAATTTGACTACTCTAGAAACCTCATATAAGAGAAATCATAGAATATCTGTCCTTTTGTGACTGGCTTACTTCACTTAGCATCATATCTTCAAGTCTCATCCATGTTGTAGCATATGCCAGAATTTCCATTTTTTAAAGCCAAATAACACACAAATATAATTTACCACATTTTGTTTATCGATTCATTTACTGATGGCCACCTAGATTGCTCCCACCTTTTATCTACTATGAATAATGCTACTATGAACATGGTGTACAAATATCTATTCAAATCCATGCTTTCACATCTTTTGATTATACACCCAGAAGTGAAATTATTGAGTCATGTAGTAAATCTATGTTTAATGTTTTGAGGAATCGCCATACTGTTTTTCACAGCAGCTGCACCATCAGTAATGTCCAATGGTTCCAATTTCTCCACATCCTCACCAACACTTGCTACTTTCTGTTTTTTGTTTTTACAACAGCCATCCAAATGGGTATGAAGTGGTGTCTTGTAGTTTTGATTTGCATTTACCTAATGACTCGTGAGAATGAGCATCTTTTCATGTATTTATTAGTCTTTGTACATATTTTTTGGAGAAATGTCTATTCAAGTTCTTTGCCTATTTTTTAATTGAGTTGTTTGCTTTTTTGTTGTGTTTTTTATAATTCTTAAAACATGTAAAAACCATTCTTAGCTCATGGGCCATTAAAGAAACAGGTCATGGGCCAATGACACATAGTTTGCTCAACTCCCTCACTTTATTTGAGGAGTCAGGCCCTAAGAGAGGCAGTGACTGCCTCCAGGTATCCTGATTCTCAAGTCAAGTTGTTGTAGTAGTTTCTGTGGTTGCTACTTCATTCAACAAATATTTATTGAGAGAATACTCTCTGCCAGTCACCAAGGAAAGGATGACTACGGAAGTTAATGAAACAGATCCGCTCCTCAGAGCTGAGTACAGAGGGGAGTAAGGCATGAGACAAATAATCACACAAATGAATATATAATTGCGAACTGAACTAAGTGCTAGAAAAGAGAACTGGTTGCTGTGAAAGAGAAAACAGGCAAGGCCTCTCTGAGGAAGTGTCATTAAAGCTGAGTTCTGAAGGAAAAATAAAAGTAACCCAGGCTAACAGAAATGGAGGAAGAACATTTCTGGCATAAGGAAAAGCATGTATCGAAGGAGTAAGAAATTCTATTGAATATTTTATTAAAAGAGCAACAGAGTTTTAAGTGAATACCAAGATTATTCCATTTTCTGTAAGGAGAATAGGTTGGAGGGGCACAACAGATTAGAATAGGCTAGACTGAAAGCAGGGAGACAAGTTGGCTGGTGGCTGGCTACTCTAATGGTTCAGATGGAAGCTGATAGGGGCTTGGGCAGAGTGGTGGTGGAGATGGTGATAAATGAATAAGTTTGAGAATCATTTGGGAGGTTGACTCATTAGGACCTGGTGATAGATGGCAGGAATAGAGAGGACAGGGAGGTATGACTACAGGTTCCTAGTTCAAATGGATGGATGGTGGTCCCATTTACTGAGACAGAGAACTCCAAGGAAGGAGTAGGTTCAGTTTTGGATGCAGTAAGATTTAGACCCCTGTGAAGCATCCAAATGGAGAGATCAAATAGGCAGATGGGTACATAGATTTTGGATACAGAAAGGATTCAGATATGGTCTGAACAGAAGTTACATTTGGTGTTGGTGCTCATCACTACCACTGAGCTGTATGGTGCTGGAAAGGGCCAGAGTGAAACAGCAGAAGAAACACTGACCTGGGCTGGGTATTAGGGAATCTGAGTTCTAGTCCCAATTCTGTCACTAACTACTCTCTCTGAGATTGTTTCACCATCAGTAACACAAGAGGTTGGCCTAGATCGGGGCTTCTTTAACTTATTTCAGATAAGAATTATCTCCTCTCCTCAAAAATTAATACACAAAAAAACACTACACATGATTTCAGGCGTTTATTCAGTCCTTGGAGCCTTTCTGTGGACCCCAAATTAGGAATGTCTAGATTATATGACCAGATAACCAAAGTTTAAGAGACCTTCCTTGTATATATTTTATTTTTAATTTTTTCAAATATACTTTAAATATCTGTTGGTCTTCCAGGTGCCCCTAGAGAATATGACAGGCATTGAACCAAGGAGAGGGGACACCAGAGTCTAGGTCTCCCTGGTTCTCTATCAAAAAGTACCCATTACCATAAAGCTAGCCAGTATATCCAAAGACCCCAATCTGCTTTTCAAAGATTATCTTCTTTTACCCTTTCTTCTTGGCCTATGCTCCAGACAAATTAGACTACACACATTCTCCCAATTCTTGGAATACCCTTCCTCCATATCTCCACACATCCAAACTCTGCCTGTTCTTCAAGGCTTCAAATGCCTTCTCTAATTCCACCACCCCTTCTTCTAAACTAGAAGAAACCTCAGCCTCCTCTGAATATCCACAGCATTTGTATTCCTCTTAAGGAACTTACTATGTTCTCCCTTGTATTACAGTTGTGCATCCCCTACTAAAAGGCAGGAGCAGCACCTGTTACCCTTTATAAAGAGCCTTCTCACACATCTCTTATCTCATTTGAGTGAAAATTAGATCACAATCACATTAACCTGCTTAGACCTTGGTCTCTTTCTTGCCTAGACAACAGACCCACCTGACTCCCTAGTGGCAGATCCTCCATCCACTTCCTACTCACATCCATTCTGCACACTGACATACATCGACACCTCCCGATTGTCTTCCTCACAAGTTCTCAACTTCAGGGTTGCAACACACTGGCTAGAGCTGGCGTAAAAGTTCAAAGTGATTTCTCACTATTAATGAAATACGAGTTCAACAATTTATAAATATAGAGCACTTAGAATATTGCCCAACACATAGTAAGCATTATATAGGTATTAGGCATTATTAATACCGAAATTTTAAGACTTATGAAACAAGTGTAGTATAGATTTTTGGCGCTCTGTACACATCCCCATGACCCACTTCTGATTTCAGCTGTAGCTGCAGGGGGCAGTTTTGTGCTGGTGGACAGCATCTCTCCTCAAGGGCTCTATGAGTCTCCTTACTTTTCTGCCCTAGAACTTCCTCTTCTTACAAGCTCACTCAGTCCATGAACAGGACAGCCTGGAAGTAAAGGGGCATTCGTAGGCATTTAATCTTCATTTGGTGAATTAGCAGCCTCCCCTTCCTCCATTTCTACAACTACCAACTATGATCCAGGGGAAGATAACAGAAATATTATAACTTGATGGGTGTTCCACTTCCTGGCACTTTTATCAACACCTTCCTGTGGAACTTCAGGCCTTCTGCCTTACGCTCTGATCCTCCTGCTATTGGCCCACTAGCACATGTTGAGAGGACAACACTCGAGCATCTGCTACTTGTAAAGAGTCAATGGACTGGGGTGGAAAAACAAACAGAGACGGCAGAGTCATAGGTCCCAATGCCAAGGAGGGGGTGAAAAGAGTGGAGGAGCCTTGAGACCTGGCCTTTCTTTCGTCCTAGGCTCTAAGTGGAATTAAATCAGCCTTCAGGAGAGACTGAATGAAGTACCTCCAGCCACAGCCAATACAGAAGCGAAATCAGAGGCTGATCTTGCGCAAGCGCAGTGAGGAGGAACTTCTTCCCACCGGACTCACCCCGCACGGCCTCTCCTAGGCAAGGGCCTCAGGGAGAGCAGAGTAGACCACACGAGGAGCCCCTCTCCTGTGACCTTTCTCTTCCTCAGACCACCCTGGAATGATCTGAGAGCCCACCTTATGAGGCGGTCAGGCCGCCCCTCGCTCCCCGCCCAGGGCCTGAGCGAACCTGGAAAGCCGGTGCCAGCCGCGCGCTGGGCGCCAAGACAGGAAGAAGGGCCAGCAGACCTTTTGGATCGGCCCTCCTCGCTACCGTTCTCACCTCTTTGTCCGCCGCCTTCTCCTCAATACCTAGCAGCGCATACAGGTCCATCTGTAAGAGCTCCTTGGTCACCGCCATAGTTTCAACACTGACTGGATCGTACTACAACTCCCAAGAGTCTAAGCATGCGCGGGGATCCTCGGACTGTCGGCCCCGCGCCGGCTGAATGGCGCTTAGCCCCCTGGGAAATGTCGTGTCCTGGGTCAAGCTTGACAGCCTCTGAGGGAAGCAGGAAGTCGGGAATGAACTACTACTCCCAGAAGCCTCCGCGCCTGCCGCTGTTGCTTTCGGACTGGGGTGGCGGGTCGCGATTCCCAGGCGGGAGGCGGTGGCAGGCTTGCGCGAATGGGCTTGGGGGGACTGGCGTGGAGCTGGGTGAAAGTACAAGAAACCTTGGACCTGGCGGGCCTGATCTCAATTCTGCCGACCCTTCTGCTCCACGCTGGGAACCAGGATGAACAGTAGATGCTATGGCTGCGCTGTCAAGTTCACCCTGTTCAAGAAGGAGGCGAGTCTTCTCTCTCTGTGGGCTAGAGGGCCAGGGAGGACGCGGAGTGGAGGGAAGGAAAAACACGGGACTTGCAGCTCATAGACTTGGTTTTACGACCCCTTTACAGCTGTGTGGTTTTGATGAAGTCACTAAGCCTCGGTTTCCCTTTCTATAAAATGGAGCTAGCACGCCTTCGCTTGCGGGATTGGTGTGTGGGTCCAGTGAAGTGCTGGAGGTGAAAATTCCCTATAAACTGTAAAGCGCGCTCCTGTCATTTTTGGAAAGCTAGACTTTTCTGTCTGCTAGGTGTAGGACCGGCTGTTTCCTTCCCTTCTCCCTGCTTCTCCGCAGCCCGGTCTTAGTATCCTGTAACCATTCATCTCACCAATGCCCCGCTACTCTCTCTGTAACGAAACCACCATCACGCAGCCTGCCCTCAGGTTTCTTGAGTTAAATTACCGCCCTTCCTCCTGTCCACAGGGACCATGGCAAAGTCTCGTCCTCAGCACAGACTCATCAAGTTCCCCTGTGAATCGCAGACTTCCTCTGCCTCAGCTATGACGGGGAGATAGGAACCAGATAGGATGAATGAAGAGCAGGTAGGGAGGCAGATCCGTGTAGCACTCAGAAACCTAGATTTAGGAGTCAAGGTGGTCAGGGTTCAAATTTGAGCTCTGCTGTTTAATTCACAGGGAGACCTTTGTTTGGGCAAGGCATGTAACCTCTCCGACCTCAACTTAAAAAGGAATAATAATGGTGGTCATCAGAATTAAGTAAGATAATGTATAGAAATTGTGAAGATTTAATCAAGTGATGAATGTTAAATGCTGAGCTTAATGCCTGGCACACTGTAAGTACTTAATAAATGGAGGCTATTGATATCCCATCCTGAACCATGCCTCCCTCCATCTCTGCTAGAGCATAGAAGGCATGGGCTCTACACTCTCTCTGATTCTCCTTTGTCACTGACCTGAGGGGGCTTTCCCTATTTGTCTTCTACACCCCATTGTCAAGGAATTGAAAACAGGGTAGAAAGCATGGGAATTTTGCATGAAGTTTTACTTGATTTTAATAAAAGACTGGAGACTGAGGAATCACTTTACTCTCCACCCCTGTCTCTCTTCAAGCCTTATGGGCCCCTCTTCTCATCCTCCTCCCAGCAGCTGGTCACAACTTCAGTGTCTTCTCTCTGTGTGATCAGAGAGTCCAATGGAGGAATCTGCAGGAGCGGATGAGAGATGGATAACCCTGATCCTTTTTCTTGTAGAACGGCTGTAAGAATTGTGGCCGGGCCTTCTGTTCCAGCTGCCTTAGCTTCAGTGCAGTAGTGCTGCGGGCTGGGAACACCCAACAGAAAGTCTGCAAGCAGTGCTATGAGGTTCTGACCAGGTGAGAAACTGACATGGGTGAGGATTCAGCCCAGCATGGCAGCAGGTAGCTGGCTGGCCCTCGCAGTGTTTGCTCTGCGGCCAGAGGTCAGCTCAGGAAGTATTTGGGGTTGGGGGCACTGACTGGCAGATGGCAGGACTTCTGACACCAGATTTCTTCTCTGTAGAGGATCTTCTCCTGCTAATGCTTCCAAGTGGTCACCACCTCAGAACTATAAAAAGTAAGTGCTAAAGGGATTGAGACAGGTAGGGATGGGGAAAGGACAAGGGAGCCCCAGGATAGGACTTTCTTCCCAGCCTCTAGGTCAAATGAACACAGGATCAGGAAAACATCTATCTCTCAGGCTCCTGACTGCCCTCTTGGGCTCAGAAAACAGCTCATCAGCTCTCTCCTCAAGAAAGGTTCTTGGTAGACCTTACCCTTTCAGCTGTACTCTCCAGCTGGGCAGCTAGGTTGAGCTGCAGGGTGCCATAAGTGAGGGCCACAGAAGATTATCCATTGGACACCTACCTAGATGCCTAGAAATGATTTGAATGGGAAACAGTGAGTGGGTGCCTTCGTCCCTCCCTTCTGCCTTCTTCAAGAACCTCTATCTCATATCCTGCCAGGCGTATGGCAGCCTTGGAAGCCAAGCAGAAGCCCAGTACTCTACAAAACCAGGGCTTGACCCACCCAGACCAAGTCATTGCTGAGCGCCTAGCACGGCTCCGCCAGGAGAACAAGCCCAGTGAGTGGAACAGGGGGGGTGGCCTAAAGGACACCATCTGGGGCTCCTGGGACTGGGATTCCTCTGGATCTTACAAGGTTTCCCCATGCCAATTACAGAGTTAGTGCCCTCACAGGCAGAGATAGAAGCCAGGCTAGCTGCGCTAAGAGATGAACCCCAGGGTTCCATCCCTTCCACCCAGGACATGGAGGCACGGCTTGCTGCACTGCAGGGCAGAGCTCCACCTTCTCAGACCCCCAAGCCGGTGAGTGCTATGGCTTAAGAAGAAAGGGGGTCCTAGTATGATGACAAGCAGAAACCCAGATACATGTATGCTTACGTATTCTGTAGGAGTTGGCAAGCCTCCAGTGCCCACCTTCTGATCCTCAGGCTTGTTGCCAGGACAAGCAGCAGGATTGGGTGGGGCAGGCAAGAGTGGCCCCTTAGTTGTGTTGGGGACTGTCAAATTACTCGAATGTGGGGCTTGGATTAGTTCCCCTTTCCCAGAGCTTTGGGAACTCCTCAGCATCCACCCCTGACCTAGACTGTTCTGGACCTTATGGTGTGGCTTCCTCCCTTCCCTCCCCACTGAGGTTCCCTCCTCTGAGCAGGTACATCAGCCACCAGACACCAGGACCCAGGCCCAGCAGGCACAGGATCTGCTAACACAGCTGACAGCGGAGGTGGCTATTGATGAAAGCTGGGAACGAGGAGGCCCTGGTAACTTTCCCATTTGGGACCCCAGGGACCTGTCCCCCTTTTCCCCAGGTGGGAGAGGCTATGCTGCCCACCCTCTGGAAGGTGAATATAAATCAGAGAACAATCAACATTATAAGAGCTACCATTTATTGAGTGTTTACTCCAGTGGGAGCCAGTGTAAGCCTAGTGGGTAAGCTTGTGTGCTTCAGAATCAGTGATTCTCTGTTCTGCCACTTACTAGCTGTGTGACCCTGAGCAAGTTACTTGATCTAAATCTCACTTTCTTCATCTGTAAAATGGAGGTATGTGTGGTAAAACCTACCTTATGGGGAAATTGTGAGGAATAAATCAGATGACTATGAACTAAGACCCAGTGTGGTTCATAGTAAGTGCTCAGTGAATGTTTTTTGCAATGATGATAATGAGGCTGTAAGTGCTCAGTGAATGTTTTTTGCAATGATGATAATACGGAGGAGGAAGAGGCTATTTAATTAAAATTAAATATAATTTAAAATTCAGTTTCTCAGTGGTACCAAAATTAAATAAAATTTAAAATTCAGTTTCTCAGTGGTACCAGCCACATTGCAAGTGCTCAATAGCCACCTGTGGCTCGTAGCTAACATTTTGGACAGCACAAATATAAACCATGATATGGAATGTTTCCATCATCATAAAAAATTCTTTTGGATTATGCTGTTCAGAGGCTTCAGAGTAGTGGTTCTCAACCAGGCATGATCCCCGCCAGGGCCTGTTTGGTAGTGTCTGGAAATTGTACCACTGGCATCTAGTGAGTAGAGGCTAGGGATGCTGCTAAGCATCATATACTGTACAGGACAGCCCCACAACAGAGAATTATCTTGCCCCAAAATGTCAACAGAACATTGAGAGACCCTCCTTTAGAGACACAATGTCATTCAATAACCTCAGTAATCCTATGAGGTACATACTGTTATCCATATTTTATAAGTAAACTGAGGCCTGGTGAGCTTAAGGAACTTGATCAAGGTCACACAGTTATGTATCAGAGCTAGGATTTGATCCCAAAGCTATCTGATTTCAAAACACTTGCTCTGAAACTGCACTAAAGGGGACATGTCAGAGCCACACTGGCAAAAATCTTCCAGCCTAGTAACATATAAGACCTCAGCTTTTGTCATGTTCTCTCTATGCTGCTCCCTGGAAATGTTAGTTCCAGCCTATAAGGCAGAGACACTAGCTGATATGGTCTCCCCATATCCTGATCCTTTTGGACAGTGATTCTTATACTGTGGGATGCCCACCCCAAGGCCAACATGTTAAAATATTAGGTGGGTGGGGATGGATGTGGTTGAAAAAAACATATCTAAAATTACTAGTTTTTTACATTTGGAAAAAAGGAGGAAATACTCATTTGTAATATAAACCACCGGAGCTAGTGCTGAGCAAAAGCTGATGATCTGTGGTTTTTTTTAAAAGTTGAGAAATGGGCTTAGGGGCTTCTGATGAGAGATCTTGGAATGTCTCTGCCTCCCTGACTGCTTTGCTCCTTTCAGCTGCCTCTATCCAGAATGACCTCAACCAGGGTGGCCCAGGGAGCCACAGCACGAATTCCAAGGGGCAGGCCACCTCGTCCCTGGAGGAGGAGAAAAGCAGGCTCCTGGCTGAGGCAGCGGTTGAGCTGCGGGAGGAGAACACAAGGCAGGAGAAGATTCTGGCCCTCGCCAAGCGCTTGGCTGTGCTGCGGGGACAGGACCCCGACAGAGGTAGAAGTTGGAAGCAGCTGCTCACTCATGTCCATTGAACAGGCCCCTCACCTCCACCCCCATGCCAAGATCCGCAAAAATGTCTACATTCCCTGCTAGGCTAAGTCAGGTACCAGGGGTCCCTGTGCCCAGGGGTCTGTTGAGCTCAGCCCAGAGCCACGAGAAAGGTAATGGAACAAAGCAGTAGATGAGGAATGAATGGCAACAATCAGGGGGCAAGGGACCCTCAGTCTCTTCAGGTACAGAGCCTTCTGTTCCTGCCCACCAGCCCTGCAGGGAGGGGCCGAGTCTGAGCAGAGTGGTTGCAGAGGCTGCTCAACTCTGGAACAAGTACCACTGGAAACCAGACCAGCTCCTGGGGGCAAGAGTACAGCCACTCAAATGAACCCTCTACCTTCCTCTTCCTTCCCTGCTCCTACCTCTCCCTTTTCAAGTGACCCTCCAGGATTGTCACCTTCCAGACAGTGATGACGATGAGGAGACAGCCATCCAGAGAGTCCTGCAGCAGGTGGGCCTGCCTTACCCTCCTGACTACCCCTTGTCCTGTCCCTACCTCACTGCCTCACCATCTACCTGGCCCCATTCACCGTGTCTCCACTCTGTGACTGGATGACCAGTCACTCTGCAGCTACTGTTCTAGCTGAAACCCCACTGCCCCTGTGACTCAGACCTGCTCTGTGACCCAGACCTGCCCTGTGACCCCTTGACATGGGGGTGTCAGCAGCTACAGGCAACAGATAAAGGAAGATGGGTTGAGACGCTAAGGCTACAGAGCCTTTGGGGACACGTGGAGGAAGGACCTGGACCGTGAGCAGGGTGCTGTACCTCTTCACCCTGTCCACAGCTCACTGAAGAAGCTGCCCTGGATGAGGCAAGTGGCTTTAACATCCCCGCAGAGCCAACTCTTCAGCCCCAGGCCCAATGCTGCAGGGCAGAACCTGAGGTGAGAAAAGCCCGACGCAGACCCCCAGGTGTAACGCCACAGCCTCCTTCCCTGCTTGCTCGACTGCTGCTCCTGTAGCAGCCTGCCGCCCATACTCCATCAAGTACCTTACTTCCCCCATTTCTCTCTAATCCCTGAAGGTTCAGGCCCTGGCACCCAGGCCTGACGCCGAGGAAGAAGAGCTCCCCTGGTGCTGCATCTGCAATGAGGATGCCACCCTGCGCTGCGCTGGCTGCGATGGAGACCTCTACTGTGTCCGCTGCTTCCGGTGGGTGCAGGTAGAATGTTCTGTGGAACTGGGAGAGTTCAAGGGCTGCCTGTGATCCCTGACCTATATCTTTTTGCTTCACAGAGAAGGCCATGATGCCTTTGAACTTAAAGAACACCGGACATCTGCTTACTGCCCCCGACATGCAGACCAAGAGCACTGAGGGAAACCCTGGTCTTACAGGCAGCTGACATCTGATGGAAGGGCATGGCAAGCTAGACTGCTCATTGGTGCCCCCTTTTCTGAGCCTCGGTGTCCCTGGAAGGAGGAAAGCTTCTCTATTGGAGAGGATGACTGGATGAGCCAGAGGGAAGGCAGAAGTTGGGAGTCTTCCATCAGTGAAGCCTGGACTGGGAGTGAAAGGCATAATGGGGGGAAAACCAAAACGAATCTAAAGATGAGCCTTGAAACCTACTCAAGAGCCCAGGGCTTTCCCCTAGTACTTACTGTATCAAATAAAGTATGTTGATTCCTTGGGCCCAGCATCTTTTATCCCTAGAACTCTGTAGGCCCTGAGCCTGGGCCCTTGGAGAGGTGGCAAGAACAGAGTAGGGTATAAGTCTAATCCTGTGGAGTGAGGTAAAGGATTAAGCCCTCCTGCAAGCTTTTTCCGGCAGGAGCAGTCCCACCCATCCTGGTAGCCTCATAGGCAGTAGACATGAATATTCGTTCAACTGAACTGAACTGTGAGTCCTGCTCTGGGATGCCCAGCTTAGCCCCCTAGGCTCTACCATCTTGGATTCTCAACCTGTCTAGTACTCAGACACTTTGCACAAACAGTGGTTGCATACCCTGCTTCCTGTCTTACTTCCAAAGACGCCACCTCCCAGGGTTCCTGTCCCAATGTTCCTCCCATTCTGAATCAGTGTCTGTTTCCAGCAATTCCCTCTTGACTTGACCCCTGGCCTGTCAGCGTGTACACTTGATACCCCTCTGCTTAATCCATGCTTTTTGTCTTCTGGCTGGAGCCAGCTCAAGAAAGAGTCCTCAGCCTGAAGCCTCCCACATTATTTAAGGAGGGAGGAAGATTTAGCCTTAACCTGGTGCCCCAGACTCAGCTAGCCTTTTCCTGTTACCTCTCCTCTGAGATTCAAAACTAGTCTTTGCCACTTGGGCTTCTGTTCTTGGTGATGCCAGGATGCTTTATGTCTTAGCCTCTGGTCCTTGCTAGATGGTGATTTCTGAAGCAGAACTGTGACTTTCATCTTAAATTCTCAAGGCCAGTTTGGATGGATTGATAGATGGATGGACAGGTGGATGGATGGATGAGGCATACATATGGATAGAGTGTAGTGACTCAGGATGCTGCCCTTCTGGTATATCACTTCACCCTCTCCCTTCCCCATCCCATAGCACAGATATGCTCCACATTCCATTCAACTGGGGCTCCTAAAGATTTTATCCACTTGGCTGTCAAGTCTGGGCAACAGCCATGACTGGCTCCCAGAAAGCCCAGCTGACAGGAACTACTTGTGACTGTACATACACTAGGACATCCAAATGTCCCTCCTTATCTTCCATATTCCTTGTCTGTGTCTCAAAGAGCCATTTCCCTCTCAGCTCAGGATCCAGAGGTTCAGGGCAGGACTCGCAGTGCTGAGGTTGATGAAGGTAGTCTCGTGAAGCTTATTTCTGAGGCCGACTGAGTCTCCGGAGTTTCTTGAGTTGACTGAGTAGCTCAGAGATAAATTGCTGAGAGAGGAACAGGTGAGAGTAAGGCATGAAGTCATGCCTACCCACCACACTGTCCCAAATCTCCCCCTGACCCCATCTCCCCAGAGCCAGGGAAGGGGAGAAAGACACAGGGCCAAACTTTGATTAGCTGCCTCCCCACTGGGCCTCCCCTTACCCCCAGACCAGCAGAGCATCCTTACCTCTGTGGGGCGGGAGCAGTCTCGGAGAATAGCCTGAGTAGAAGAGAGCAGACAGTGGGTCACTGAGCCATAGCGCTTTCCCACAAGCTCCCACTCAGTCTCCCAGGAATTCTTTCCTCTGATTCAGTTCCTCCCACTCTACCCAAGGAGGCAGAGTCTGGGTGCCTGGGTCCCCCTTGGTCCAAGCCCGACTTCCATCCCCCAACCCATGGGTCTGGGGCCCAGGTCCCTCATTCTACCTCCAACTGAGTCTTCTGTTCCTCACTGGATAGTTCCACGAGAGCCTCCAGATCAATCTCAGGATCAGGAGTTTGTTGATCCTGTTTGGGAATCACATGGGGCTCAGAGGGGCCTGGCCAGCTGGAGTGAAAGTTACTATCAGGGGCTCACCCATGTCCCACTTTATTTCCCATTTTTAGTCCCTCTCTCCACCATAGTCAAACCACTCATTCATTCTTCCATAACAATTAGTGAATACCTAAGTTCTATCTCAGACAGTGCTAGGGTTCTTTAAAAAGTGTCTCAATTTCAAAAGTTATGTACATTATTGGCAGGGGTAAAAAAAATGGTACAGCTGCTTTGGAAAACAGTTTGACAGTTTCTTAAAATGTTAAATATAGGGTTATCTGACCCAGCAATTCTGCTCCTAAGTCTGTTCCCAAGAGAAATGAAAACATATGTCCACACAAAAATTTGCACATGAACATTCATAGCAGCATTATCCATAATAGCCAAAAAGTTATAGCCAACAACTCAAAAGCCCATCAACTGATAAATGGACAAAATATAATGTAGACATACAATATTATTCAGCAATACAAAGGAACAAAGCACTGATTCATGCTACAACATGGATGAACTTTGAAAAACACTATTAGTGAAAGAAACCAGTTATAAATGGCCATATATTACCTGATTTAATTTGTATGAAATGCCCATAATAGGTAAATCTACAGACACAAAGTAGATTATTGGCTTCTTAAGGAGTGGTGGTGGTAGGAAACAAGGTATGATTGCTAATGGGTACAGGTTTTCTTTCAGGGGTGATAAAATGGCCTAAAATTAGATAGTAATGGTTGTACAACTCTGTGAAGATACTTAAAACCATTGAATTGTATACTTTAAGTGGGTGAATTGTATGGTATGTGAATTGTATCTCAATAAAGCTGTCTTTAAAAGTTATTGTCATTGAAAAATTTAAACAATACAGAATTTATAAAATTAAAATGAAAAAAAGCTCAAGAGAATAAGAAGACAAGCCACAGACTAGGAGAAAATATTTGCAAAAGATATATCTGATGAAGGACTGTTATCCAAAATATACAAAGAACTCTTGAAACTCAACAATAAGGAAAAAAAAACCTAATTGAAAAATTGGCAAAAGATCTGAACAGATGATGCCTCACCAAAGAAGATATGTAGATGGCAAATAGCATATGAGAAGATATTCAACATCATATGTCTTTAAGGAATTGCGAACTAAAACAACAAAGAGCTATCACTACACACCTAGTAAAACGGCAAAAAATCCAAAACACTGACAATACCAAATACGCAGAATTTTCATTCACTTTTTGTGGGAATGCAAAGTGGAACAGTCACTTTAGAAGACAGTTTGGCAGTTTCTTACAAAACACACTCTTATCATACTATCGGCAATCGTGTTCTTTGGTATTTACCCAAATGAGCTGAAAACATGTCCACACAAAAACCTGCACACAAATGTTTATAGCAGCTTTATTTATAATTGCCAAAACTTGGATGCAACCAAGATGTTCTTCAGTAGGTAAATAGAATATTATTCAGTACTAAAACAAAATGAGCTATCAAGCCATGAAAAGACATGGAGGAAACTTCAATGCATATTACTAAGGGAAAGAAGCCAATCTGAAAAGTCTACATACTGTATAATTCCAACTATGTGACATTCTGGAAAAGACAAAACTATGGAGACAGAAAAAGATCAGTAGTTGTGAGGGGTTAGGGGAGAGGGTGGGTTGAATAGGTGATGCACAGATTTTTAGGGCAGTGAAACATACTCTGTATGATATTATAGAGTATGTTTGTCAAAAAAACATAGAATATATAACGCCAAGAGTGAATCCTAATATAAAATATGGATTTGGGGTGATTATAATGTGTTGACATAAGTTCATCAACTGTAACAAACTCTCCGCCCTAATGAGGGATGGTGATAGTGGAGGAGACTATGCATGTGTGGGGACAGAGGAAATATGGGAACTTTCTGTAGTTTCTTCTCAATTCTACTGTGAATCTAAAACTGCTCTAAAAATATGTCTATTTAAAAAAAGATGTGACTCAAGGACCAAGATTTAATAAATTTAATAGTTCTCTTACTGCTTCGTCAAAGACTTTCTTAAGTGAAAGTGAATGGTAGTGAAGAACATGATTACTAGTATAGGTTGGTGCTGCTTTCTTGATTCATGCTGAGGGCCACCATTGCTTTTGCATCACCAGTGCAAATGTCAACATAGTCAAAACAGCAAGCAACATCTTAGCATTATTACAGAAATAATCATGGACTTCTTGAAAGGATCTTGGGAACCCTTGGAGTCACCAGAACACACTTCAAAAAACTGCTCCCTTATCCATTTTTCTATTGGTTTGTTCAGTTTTTTTCTTACTGATTTTAAAAATCTTTTAAAAAATTCAGATTAGCTTTAGCATTCCATATATGATCAAAACATCATTTGTTTTTGGGAGAGGGGTTAGGGAAATAGGTATATGTGTTTATATAGTTGAATCTAATGGTATTTTCTAGCTTAGGTTTTGTTTATTTTATTTATTTATTTTTTGATGCTTAGCAAGTTCTTCCCTTAGTGACTTGGATAAATATTTGATATTCGCCTTCACATTTTTCTGGAGATTCGCTAGCTTCACCTTTTCCACCTGATTATTTAATCCTTTGGAATCTATTCAACAAATATGTGTCAAGTGGCTACTATTAACCCAGTACTGTAAACTTGGAAACTTCAGTGACCAAAACAAACATCCTGCCCTCAAAGCACCTAGGAGTTAGGGACAGTTGAGGAGACATAATAAAAACAGATGTACTAAGTAATTAAGTTGTATAATTTGTTTAAAGGTAAGTGTTATTGGAGGAACTTTTTGGATGTTAGAAATATCCTATATCTTGATTGGGGTAGTGGATACGTATGGCAAAGTGCATTTAACTATAAACTTCAAGCAGGCAAATTTTATTCTGTTAGTCGTACTTCTATAAAGTTGATTTTAAAAAAAGAATGAAAAAAGCCTCATCTACCCTCTCACTCTTCCCACTACCAATGGATCATTACTATTAACAGTTTGGTCCCTCCATATGTTTTCAAAAATAAATAGTCCTAGGGTTCTAAGTTAGCTCTTTTACCCCAAGCTCTGGACTTTCTCCTTTGCTACCTTGGTTTCTAGCTCATGTGATTCAGCATTTACCCATTTAATGCGTATTTTCTGAGAGCATGCTATGCCCCATGCATTGGGATGAGTACTGGGGCCATAATAGCAAGACAGAAAGACATGACCCTGCCCCTGAAACGCTTAAGTCTCCTGAGGGATACAGACAAGTGAAAAGGCGGTTGCAATACAGGATAAGCACTTTGATGAGATACTGTGGGAGCACATGGAAGGGAAACCTAACCAAGCCTGGGGTTTAGGATGGCTTCCTGGAGAAAGTAACTTCTAACCTGAGACCAGAAGGCTGAGCAAGAGTTAGCCAGATATTTATGCTTCTGGTCAAGATGGAGTAATAGGAACCAGATTTATTCTCCCAACATAAGTTACTATAAAATTAGACAAAACTATATGAACAATATTTTCAGACATTTGACAATGGTAGCTCAGGACTACCTGAGAGAAAAGGGAAATAAAGGAGGTAAACTCTATAATTGACCTGAATTTCTTTCTGGAGGCAATTTCCAGATGACGGCTAGGAGGGAGAGCCCAAGCAGAGCACAGTGGTCTTGCTAAATGGATATGACAGAGATCAAATTTCAGGGTTGAGGTGACTGGAAGTTGCTGGACAAAGTTCTGGAGAGGAGAGAGTTATAAAGAAAGAGACCTCCAGAAATCTGCATAAGGGGTCTCCTGGATCTTTGCTGAACATAAGATGCACATTCATAGGTTAAAACTTCGCAAGGCCAGATATCTGAGGCACTTAGAGCACAGAGATGAACAGTTCCCAGACCTCACAGAGGACTGGAAACAAATCAAATTCCACCCAGCCAGAGCAGATAGTTATTACTGATCATGCAGGAGTTCAATAGAGACTTTGGAAGAGCCATGCTTTACTATGGGGGTAAATTATGCTCTAGATTAAAGGCTACTCTAGACTCATACTGAGTTTAAAGACAAGCCTCGAAAGGATCAAACTTAATCACAAGTAACTAAACTACCTACTAGAACAAAGCCCAACACTCATTAAAGGAAGAAAAAAAATCCAGTTACTCAACAAAATAAAATTCATAATATAATCTAGTATCCAGTCAAAAATCACTAGTTATGCTAAGAAACAGGAAATGTGACCTACAACCAGGAGAAAACTATTAATAGAAGCAGACCCAGAAACGATAGAGATGACAGAATTAGACAAAGAAAACATGAACATAGGAATGAGAGAAATTGAAGATATGAGAACAAACCCAAATGGAGCATCTAGAGATAAAAAATACAATATTTTAAATGAAAAATTTACCAGATAGAATTAACAGCATATTTGACACTGCAAGAAAAAAAGGGTCAGTTGAACTTAAGATATAACAAAAGAAACTACTCGAAATGAAGCACAGAAAGAAAAAAAAAACCTGGAAGGGAGGGGAGAAGGGAGCAGAACAGAGCTTTGGTGACCTGTGGGATGTGACATATGTACAACTGGAATCCCAGAAGGTGGAGGGTGGGGCCAAATAATAAAGATATATTCTTTTTTAAAATTTAATTTTTAATTTTTCAATTACAGTTGACTTACATTATAATAGTTTCAGGTGTAAAACATAGTGATTAGACCTTTATATAACTTACAAAGTGATCACCCCAATAAATCGAGTACCCATCAGACACCATAGTTGTTATACATTTTTGACTATATTCCCTACGCTATACTTTACATCCCTATGACAATTTTGTAACAATCAATTTATACTTCTTAATCCCTTCCCTTTTTCACCCATCCCCCCCAATGACTCTCCCATCTGGCATTCATCAAAATGTTCTCTGTATCTATGAATTTGTTTCTCTCTTATTTATTTTGCTCTTTAGATTTCACATGTAAGTGAAAACATATGGCATTTGTCTTTCTCAGTTTGACTTAACTCCACTCAGCGCAGTACCCTCTAGATCCAACCATGTTGTTGCAGATGGCAAGATTTTTTTTTTTTTCTTTTTGCCTGAGTAATATTCCATTGTATATATGTACCACCTCTTCTTTATCCATTCATCCATTGGTGGACACCCAAGTTGCCTGCATATCTTGGCTACTGTAAATATGCTACAATGAACACATGAATTTACATGTCCCTTCGAAGTAGTGTTTTGGGTTTCTTTGGATAACTACCTAAACTGGGATTACTGGGCCCCTTCTTTGTATCTCGTTATAGCCTTTGTTTCAAAGTCTATTTTTTCTGGTTTAGGTATTGCTACCCCAGCTTTTTTTGTTGTTTCCATTTTCATGAAATGTCTTTTCCCATCCCTTTACTTTCAGTCTGTGTGTCTTTTGATCTGAAATGAGTCTCTTATAGGCACTATACATAAGGGTCTTGTTTTCTTTAGGATGGCTTCCTGGAGGAAGTGACTCGTATTCTAAGACCAGAAGGCTGCATAAGTATTATTCATATAGTTTTGTCTAATTTTATAGTTACTTATGTTGGGAGAATATATCTGGTCCCTATTACTCCATCATGACCAGAAGCATGAATATCTGGCCATTCAGCAACTTTATCTTTTGATTGGATCATTTGATCCATTTATATTTAAAGTAATTGTTGATAAAGATTTATTGTCATTTCAATATTCATATATTTTATCTTTTCTCCTCCTCTTCCTCTTCCTCTAAGAAGTCCCCCCAACATTCCCATTTCTTACAATACTGGTTTGGTGTTGATGAACTCCTTTAGCGTTTTCTTGTCTGGGAAGCTCCTTATCCGTTCTTTGATTCTAAATAACTTTGCTGGGTAGAGTAATCTTGATTGTTAAAGATATATTCTAATGATCAGAATTCTGCCTCTAAAAAAGTAGTACTGCAGCCAAAAAAAACACATTTTTCTAGGAATTGTGATGTCAACTACATGTATATTGAATATAAGTTATGTATATTACTGAGAGTCAGATTGCCAATGTACTCTGGAGTTGGGAATATGGGCTCGTATCATAATCTAAATATTCTTTCCATTAAGTATTTTTTTTGAATTGTCAGAAAATGAGTGGATATATCAAATCTCCTGCTGAGATAAACAAGTGTGGTACACTCACAACTCTGTATTACATGTGGTGGTTTCCTGCCAGATGTTGCCTGATTTGATTCCTTTTTCACCTCCACTCCCTACTCAGTTCCCCTTACTCCTGGTTTCTATGCCATGGGACCAGCAATAGAGTAAGGCTCAGAGATGAGCTAACAATGTTTGTTGTACATATTCATTGACAATACTTTTTTAAAGTTGGAAGGTTAATAGATTGTTTCTTAAAATCTCAGCATATCAAAAAGGCTGCATCAAAACACCACCTGCCTCCTGGAAAAGATGGAAGCTATAGGAAAGAAATGTTTCAAAATTTGAGGTGATATGTACATTAGCTATAGCCCCACGTTATTGGTGACCTTGCAAAAGTTCTCAATACAGTGGTGGGAACAGAAACCAGATTTTGAATGGTGACGGGCAGGGGAAAGGTAAGTAAAGGATGTGAGTGTGGACAAATCCTTTAAAGAATCCTGTTGTGAAGATGACATGAAATAAGGGATAGTAACTAAAGGGAGGCATGCTGTTGAACAAGAGTCTTTTTAAAATAGAAGAAACATATGAGTGTTTAAGCCCCTGCTTAGAAACCAAATCCACATTCCACCTCTGGACAACAGGAACTCTATGGCCCCAGATCTGTTTGTTTTGTTGAACCCAGATTTGGTTCCTCTGAAGACTCCAAAAGCAGGCTGTACATCCAGAGAGAAGAGGTGAGACCTTCCAACAGAGAAAGGTTGGGTCCCATTAAAAGAACAAAACAAGTAGTGATGCCTCCCTGGAACCATTCTCAGTGGTACCATTTAAGGTGGACATGTTGGGGAGAGCCCAGGTGCATGGTGAAGGGCTCTGTGAAGGTATAACTGGGGTGGGGTAAGCCTGGAGTCTGTGTTGCCTCCATCTCTGCCCAAGATGGTCAGCCACCTGGGGCTTTCCCACCCACCTGCTGAAAAGAGCAGGGATTGGGAGAGGAACTGCCACCTGGCACCTTTGGACAATTGCCATGGCAACCGCAGGCCAGGTATTTTATTTCAGTAATTACCTGGAAGCAGTCCACCCACATGTCCTGTTTTCCAATGTTATGAGCTCATTATTGTACAGCTCCCCACCCCGACCTTAATCTTGCAAAAACAAAGTTCTTTGGCTAATCTCTTCTTCTGATGCCTAGCAGGATTTTCTCTGAGGTGTTTGAAATATGAGATTTTTCATGCTAGTGCACAGCTATCTGAAATCGAAATTGATCCCAAGAGGGAGGGCGCTGGTAGTAGTGAAGGGCAGGTGAAGTGTCCTGCAAGGTCAGAGCAGACACAGACCAAGAAAGTTTGCCTCTCCTGCTCCCAGCTCCAGGGCATCTTCCACCACCCACAACTGGGCCCAGGAGGCTTCAGGGGACATGGTCAACACCTGGACCAAACTGACACATGACCCAGTAAATCTCATAAGAAAGCTTGGGCCACATGCATCATTCTTCCCCAACCCCAACCACAGGGCTGCTGGTAAAGCCCTTACTGAAAGAATCACAGGTCATTGCTACTTCCAAAAGGAAAAAAAAAAAACCTGAGTCAAAAAGGAGGAGAAACAAGGACCGTGGTATGTGAACAAGGAGGACTCCTGATTTCTGGCTTGGTGCAGTGGTTCTCTGCCAGCCATATGTTAGAATCAACTGTGGAGCTTATTAAAAAGACCAGTGCCTAGGCCCCACCCTAGTATATTTAAATTAAATTCAGCTGAGGTACAGCTAGGGCACTGGTTTCTTTCTGAAGTACTTCAGGTGTGGAGAACCACTAGATGCTTAAATTAGTACTCAAGTTCTATAGGCAGAGCCCCAGCAGCAGCTCCAGGTCCCACAGCTTCCTAGTTGTGTGACCTTGGGCTAGTTACTCAACATCTCTAAGCCTTTATTTCCTCCATGGTAAAACAGTACCTACCTAATGGAGTCACGGAGAGGCCGATTGAAATAATGCATGTCAGGCGCTGGGCACTGTGCCTAGCACATACTTGAGTGCTCAAAGTGTTATTGTAGTCACTGAAGCAGAGGTTGCTATGACTCTAGGATCCTGATTTGGAAGTATCTGTATAAGAAAGTGCCACTTCCTGTGACAAGGGGCCAAGACCCATCCTTTTCCCAGGGTGGGGTTGAAAGGAGTCAGTCAGAGCCAGGGCCAAGGCTAGGTCAGCTCCTGGTGTTAGTGCTGGTTACTCTGACTCTGACGTTCTAGTCCAGTGCCATCCATTACGCGATAACGAGAATGTTCTATGTGTGTGCTGACAATACGGTAGCCACATGGGGATATTGGGCACTTGAAATGTGGCTATGTGACTGAGAAACTGAACTTTTAATTTTATTTGATTTTCATTAATTTAAAGTTAAGTAGATACACATGGCTGATAGCTACAGTATTGGACAATGTAGCTCTAGACATGTATTTGTGTTGAGGATGAGAGTAAATAAAGACGTAAATAAAGAATAGTCCTCCTATTATCTCATTTGAGCATCAGAAAGTCCTAAATCGCTCAACCATAAGAAGAGATGAAATACTGCCATGTGCAACAACATGGATGGACCTTGAAATAATCATACTAAGCGTAATAAGCCAGACAGAAAAGGTTGAAAATCACATGATATCACATATGTGGAATATAAACCTAAAAGCAACAAATGAACAGGACAAACAAACAGACATTCATGGACATGGACAATGGACTAGTGGTTATCAGTAGGGACGGGAAAGGGGGAAAATAAAAAAATAAAATGTTAAAAAAAATTATGTATATATAGTATGAAAAAAAAACTGGCATTAAAAAAAAAAGTCCTAAAGGAGATATGACAAGCATTTTTTAGGCTCATTTTATAGATTAGGAAACTAAGTCTAAGGGATGGTAAAAGATCTGCCCCAGATTATGAAGAGAGTTAGAGGTAGAGCCCAGACCAGAGGCCAGATTTCCAGACTGCAAAACCATGCTCCACGTGCTAGGAAAAGCTTTCTCTCCCTAGCAGTATCTCACATCAGCCCTTCAGCTCCTCCTGAGGTCTCCCAGCAGGCTCTTTCTCAGACTCCTGGCCAAGCCCCAGGCCCCTATGTCCTCCCACCCTTCCCCGTGCTACCCACCTTGAAGAGCTCGTGAACATTCAAATCCACCCAATCCTCCACCTCCAGCCACTGATGGAGCTGCCCCCGGTCGTACTTCACTGTCAGCCGGTTGGGTCTCCGGGACCTGGGCACTTTGGAGGGGTCAGGGTGGGATTTTGACTCTGAGTCTGTGGATGACATCCTCCTCCTTTCAGAAGCCCACTGGACCTTCTTACTTGGGTTCTGCCTGTCCGGGTTAGGAGATGTGCAGGAAGCAGGGCTTGAAGACATCATGGAAAGATTGGCCTGGGCGAGGACCTAGGAAAAAATGCCAGCCAGAGCGAGGGTGCTGGGAAGTGAGGAGAAAGAACAGAAGGAGAGGCCAGCAAGGAAGAAAGGAAGGCAGGAGGGAAGGAGGGAGAGCCAAGGCTCTGGGAGGGGTAAGGGTCAAAGATCAACAGGCCTTTGTCTGTTGCTGGGAACACCAGACTCCTGGCTCCTTGCCGCCAGTGAGCAGCACTCCCGAGCTGAGCTGTGCCCTAGCTTCCCTTTCTGCAGCTGCTGGGGCCCAAAGTGACATAAAATGTACATGAGCAAAGGTCAAGAGGGTGCCATGCCTCGGGAGGAGAAAGGGGCCCTTGGGTCCTGAGGGGTGCGGGGCTATAATTAGTGCTCTATGGCTATCTCTGGAACAGGACCTGACTCACGCTTACCTGAGAACTTTCCACCTCCCTGGGATCCACTTGGGCCCTGAGAAGCTGCAGTCAGATGGATTATGCAAGAGCAGTGTCCCTGGCAGGCAGGAACTCCTACTCAGAGTGTGGCACTGCTGGAGACAATCTAGAAGGGATAGTTAGAGGGGTGGTTATCTGTGGCCCTCAGGGAGTCAGTACCCTTTTATGTCTGGGTATGTCTGAATGTGAGCTGCCTTTAGGAATATGTGAGGGAAAAGATCTCCTCTATTAGCCCGGCCCTGTGTGCTTGCAAAGGTAAATTTATCAAGTTTCTTTCCAATTCCTCTTCCCCAGAAGTGACTGCTTAGGATGCCATGTTTATCATTACATGATCCTCCCCCAACTCACATCCTTCCTGACATAGAGGAAACCTGCAGACTAAGTTTTGCCCAGGTGTCAAGGACTATTTCTAGACATACTTGCATTCTAAAGAAAGAGTATTTTTGTTTGTTTAGTCTTTTGTAACAAAAATTTCTAAGCTTTTAAGAAAATTTACAGAATAGAAGAGCACTGTAATTTTTGAACACTTCAGAAGAACAAACAAATGAAAAATGAAAGTTTCTCTCCTTTCCTCAGCTCCACTCCCCAGAGGCCACTCCCATCAACGGCTTGTTTTTAGTTCGCCTCTGATTACCAATATCCCTTTAAGCAATATTATGAATGTGTCCATTTTAGATAGTATCTCTTAATCTCCTCAATATGATAGATGTGAAAGTAACTCTTTCACTTACTTGCACTACAGACCCCATCTCCTTTACTTTCCACATTCCAATTTTGGTTTATATATCTCTTTTTAGGTCTGGTAGTGATTGCCTTTATCATGTTGGGTTTGTTTCCAATGTATCCACTTCAACCGTCATACATGTTGGCTTCAGATAAAGGCCAACAGATGAGTCCTTAGGACTAATTTTAAGCCCTCAGTTAACAGGGTGGAGAAAGTGTTTGAGGGCTGGAGGCCAGAATATGAGCCCGGAAAAGCCCAGGCTCTGGAGGAAGGCCAATATCTGAGTTCAAACTCCATTTTGCCCTGCATTGGTTTTATGACATTCAAGTTCAACAACCTCTTTAAGTCTGTTTTCTTATCTGCAAAATGGGGTTTTGGGGAGGATTAAATGAGACGATGTATTTAAACATTTAACATGGTGTCCAAAACAGAGTCCCCTCTCAGTAGATATCGATTCCCTTCCTTTCTTCGCCTTCCCATTCTCCCTGCCTTCCTGGTGAGGATCTGTCCGGCAAAGGCTGGCCTTGGGACTCCTCCGTAGTGGCTTCATTACAAGCCCTCTTTGGAAGAGGATGGAAATGAGCAGGGGAAGGGAAGCCTCTAAAATGCAGCCTATAGACTCTGCTGTTACTTTGACACTGTGATGGGCAGGCATTATGATGATAGTTTCCTTTCTCTTCTGTTTCCTGTCTTCTGAAGGGTTCAGGAGATTTTTCAAGAAAAGGAACCAGATCAAAAGAGTCAATGAGTTTTGCTCACTCATTTAACAAAGATTTTGTGAGCTCCTCTAGCTCACAATGATTAGGCCAATCATTATGCTCAGTAACAGGTATTGGTGATCCAAAAGAGACACAGTCCCTGCCTTCACAGAACTTACCAATCTACTGTGAAAATAAACATTAATTACCCAATCGGACAAATATAAAACTGCAACTATATCTAGTGATCTGAAGAAAAGGTAAGAGATGCTATAAGAATTTTTAATGAGGGTGTGACCTAGAGAGTGGTAACATTCGAAGTGAATTCTGAAAGATGAGTAGGAGTTAAATAGACACGGAGGCCAACAGGAATGGACCTGGCAGAAGGCAGAGCATATTTAAAGGCCTTGTGGCAGATGAGAGATGGTGAGTACAAGAAACTAAGTACAAGAAAGGTCCATGGGGCTAGACTAGAGAGAGGAGCGGGGTCATGAGGCAGAAGTGATGGAAATACCTACAGGGTTCCCTATGAACCATGTTAAGGAGTTTTGTCTCTATCCTAAGAGCATTGAGAACCACTCCAAAATCTTAAGCAATGGTGGTTGGGCAGGCTGACATGTTCAGATTTAAATTTCCAAAAAATAACCTTGGCCATTGGATAAAGAGAGGATCGGAGGGTGCAGAAGGGTTGGAGGAGACCAGTTAGGAGACGTTGATGGGGGGAGGAGTGTTGTCGATAGTAAGAAGTGGATAGATTGGAGAGTTATTTAGGGAGTAATATTTAACGAAACTTAGTGATGGACTGGGGACCCATCATGCAAACTTCATGAATGCCTACAGAGGGACACAGACAAGTTCATGCATGGAGCCTCTCTGAGCTTGTTTCCTCAGCTGTAAAACTGGAGGTTGGTGGGATTCCGCATGAGCACCCAGCTCGGCCCTGGTGAAATACGGCACAAAAATTAGTTATGCCCGTTATTTATAATGTGAGTCTCCTTATTTACATTCTTCCCTCTCAGCATTGACAGATCTCACTGGCCTACAGGAGTCACCATCCATCAGTTAGTCTGTCAAAGATAAGGGAATTCAGGATGTAAGATAAGATGAGAAGAAAAAACCATCAGGATGTCAGGGCCACATGAGGGCAGGGAAACAAAGAGGGTGCAGGCCTGGCCAGAAGCAAAGGTGTCTGCTCCACGCTCTTGGCCTGGCCTAGATCTAGTACTGGGATAAACGGGCAGCAGGCAGACCCCATTAGAAGTAGGCTGTCCTTAAATGCCTCTTCTTTTCTTTCTCTTACTAAAAATTTTTATTATAAAAGGCAAATGTTCATTTTAGAAACATTTCTCATTTTCTAAAACATTAAAAATTGACCATAATCCCACCACACAGGAACTACCATTGCTAAAATTCTGGCAAGTTTCTTTCTAATCATTTGTCTATGCATGTATATTTAACATAGTTGAGAAAATGCTGTCTGTGATATATAATTATTAGGAAAACTTTAAACACTATTGTTATTATTCAAGAAATACATTTAAAAAAGACATGTTCAGTGTAGAAAACTCTAAAATATAGATAAAAAAGAAAAGTATAAATGACCTTTAGTGTACTTATTTTTTCATTTTTCATATAGATTTGCTCGTTTGGGATTTTCATGAATTTAGATCATTTTATAACATGCATGCTATTTTGTAACAATATTTGTTGAACACTTTTTGGGTCATTAAGTAGTTTTGTACATTTTTTTTAACACTGCAGAGTTTTCAAAATTTGGACCATAACTCAGAATGAATTCATTTAATATCACAACACACACATACACAAACATGAAACGAAAATTTCTTAGGAAGCAAAACTCACCTTTACTCTGATATTTTCAACTCTATTCCTATTTTATTTTATTCTACTTTACTTAATTTTATTTTATTTTATTTTACTTATTTTCAAACGCTGATGGCAAGTCGTTTTGTTTTCAAGACTCACTAATGGATTCTAACCTGTCAGGACCCAGGGGCTGGCTAGACATTTGCAAGGAAAACCCAGTACCAGTGGTCACAGATAACTCCAAAGTGCCTGGGTCAGTGAGACCGAGAGAGAATGTGGAGAGAGGAGCAATTTGGGGCTAAATATGATGAATATGGGAAGCTGTCATGAGGTATTTCTCTCTTCGTTGTGGAAGTATTCCGTGCTCACTAAAGGGAACTTGGAAAACAAGTTAAAAACTAAAAAGAAAACGTTATCACATATTCCTATCATTTAAATGCCATCACTTTTATTACTTTGGTAGACTATCTCTTAGTTCCCCCCCCCCACTCATGTACAGTTTTTCTTTTTAGTATGTAAGAAGCATCATGAAGTAGTAAGAAAGTGAGTTTTTCATGTCAGAGAGACTTGGAATAAAACTCTGGCTCTGTTACTTTTTTCAGGTAACATTTATTAAGCGCTCACATTATCAAATGTTTTATCTGTATTAATTAATTTAACCATCATAACCCTATGAAGCCCTACTTTGCACTAAGGTAGAGAGGGGCTAAATAACTTGCCTAAGGCCACCCCAATAGTGAGTAGCAGAAAAGAGAATTAAACCCAGTAGTCTGAGCATGAAGTCCACAAGCTCAACCCCCATACATCCTTGCCTCCCACTTTTCATACGTGACCTTGATGGAGTTAGTAAACTTCTCTGCAAAGTGGACACTATTCTCAGAGTTGTCGTGAGCATTAGTAATTATGTATGTCGAGTGCCTGGCACACAGTAAATCTCTCAACTAATGGTGGCTGCTCACCACTTGAAAACGAGTTTTCGTTTCAGGCAAGTTGAATCTAAGCTGAGGATGGAACTTTCATCTGAACTCAGAATTGCAAGTGCAGAAAAACCCACTGAAGCAATGGAATTGGCCTGCTGAGATTCTGATCCCCGTTCTTTCACCTAATTGCCACATGACTTGACAAGTTAGTTCACCTGTCTGAGCCTGTTTGCTCATCTGTAAAATAGGGATAAAAATAGTACATACTTTCTTGGTTTGTTTTGAGTATATGAGGCAATGTGTGGGAAGTGCTGAGGAACAGGGTTTCAGTATTGTCAGTGCTTGATAAAAGTAGTTTTTTGTAATGGTGTGTATAATGGATATAATAATAAATTTGTAGTAATATGATATTACCATAAGATTGTTGTCTCCTGTGTTAGGATTTCTGCATGTATCATGTATTGGGGGAGGCAGATCACACACAAAAACCTTTCTGCCCAGTAACTACACAATCATTTGCTTCATTCCCAGCATACTATCACTGATTGCCCTATGTCCACCACTGCATCAGAAGCTATGGAAAAACTCAGACAATTCAGAGAAAGAGAGACAGACCCAAGATTCTTACCCCCAACATCCATAATGTGGACAGCTGGGAGATGTTGCAGTTCAGCCAGGAAAATGATCAAAGGATTGGCTACAAAGATCTAATAGGTAAAGCTGCTCTAGATGACAAATTAGGAAGAATATTCCCATTTGGGGGAGGGGGTGTTAAGTCATCATGAAAAGGTGTGGAATCTCTTTTTGGGGAGAGAATTAATAATAATGTAGGGAGGAGGCAAAAGAATTAAAATGTTAATCAAGCCACATTCAGAAACTGCAATATGCTGATCAACCCTACAGCCAGGCCAAGAGGACACCTTCAGAACAAAGGAAGATTTCTACCGGGATTGCTAACAACGTATTTCCCCACACCTGTGGAAGGGGAAACAGCCCCCTTCACAAATCAAATCATTCATTCCCTATAGCTAAAACTAAAGGGAACTTGTGGATTAAAGGCTGGGAACTGCCAGCAGGCATTTCAGGCTATATACTCTTTCACTACCCCTTTCTCATTATATGTCCATATCAAAGGAAATGGAAAATAAAGAATGATATATAAACTGAATTCCCTGGACACTCAGGGTCCCTCTCACTCTCTGCCTCTGGGAAGAGACCACACTGTCTGTGGAGTATTATCCCTTTTTTAATAAACTTTCCTTTGACTCTGACTTTGGCGTATGTGTTGAATTCTTTCTACTCTCTCTGCCAAAGGGCCCTTTTCTTCTCTTGGTGTAGGGCTTGGTCTCCCCACCACCATTCGGGGAAATTTGCTCTGTCCTGAATCAATAGGACCAATCTTAATCTGTAAGGAATGGTCTTTAAGAGGAGTCCTTCACTCAGGAAAAGCAATGATTATGGCTTCAAGGAGTCCACCGTTCTGTAGTCATAAACTCAGCTACCTTGGTGAACTGGACCTATAGTTTACAAGGATGGCATTCCACTGGAAGAAAGTGGCCAGCTCTAGATCAGGAGCACCCCCTTGGTGGGAGAGAAGGAACTCGCACTCCGGGGGAGGGAGCAGCAGACCCCTGAGTATTGTTAACAGGGACTCGGCTCCAAAAGAGACGCGGGAAAGGAAACAAAAGTAAAGGTTATTACGAAATGAGGAAGGGCCTCAGGCAAAAGGGAACCATGGCGGCAAGCAGGGAAGTCTGGCAGCAAGAAATCGCTTGTTTCTCACTCTTGCAGAAAGGAGGGCTTCCCGGGACTGGCAAGGACCGTGACACAGGGGCAGGCACCCGGATTCCAGTTACCAAAGGTGCAGCCACACAGCCTCTGGGATCTCTTCCCGCCACGAGATGGAAATGATTTCCTGCGGGCTGACAACGACGGCGAGGTTATTTGCACCGGGCTTTCCCTCATTTCTCCACCCCTAACCCCTTAACGAGCGCCTCAGGCCTCGGGCTGGGAATGCTGGCCCTGGCACGAAAGGGGGTCTGGTGACAGCCGCCACAGAGCGTCCCACCCTCTCGTGCCCAACTTCACTGGAGTGTCCTGGCGTGTCTGGACTTCCCGGGATCCGGGTGCGGCTCCCCTCCCCCCACCCAGCGAGGCTGGGCTCGGTGGATTTGGCGTAAAGCAGGCTCGAAGGGCGCGGTCCGGGTCAGGGAGCCCCGGTCCCGGCCTCACAGCCCCTCGCGGGAGATGGTGGCAGGGTGCGGGGGGGTCAGCCTGCAAGGGAGGTGTCGGGGATCGCGGGTCCGCGGGGCAGGTGCTGAGGAAGCTGGACTGGAAAGGGCCGGCCGAGGCGCCCCGGACAAGGGCGGGGCCGGCGGCGCTAGGGTTAATGTCCGCCCCGCCCCGGCCGCGCTGACTCAGTTTCACCAGAAACTAGGGGGAGGAGGTGGCGGATCTGCAGCGCACCCCGCACCTAGGCGGAAGCCGGACCGGAGCCGCGCAGGAAGCAGAGACCGGAACCTGAACAGGCCGGGCTCCACCCCACTCACCTGCGCAGGTAACCAGGGCCCCGGAAGCGGAGCGGGCTCGGAGCGTGTTTGGCCCTTTGTTCTGCTCTCGAGAGTGTGTCGGGATACGTGACCTTCTTGGCCATACATTCGTCCGTCGGTCTGGCGGCCGGGTCACTGGAGCATACGTGGGGGGCCAGGGCCGCGTTCCCCTCTACACTGCAGGGGTGCTCCGTGCTTCCCAGGCCTCCCCTGCACTTATACTCAGCGGGCCCGCCTCCCTTGAAGTCTCCCCGGCTGATCCGGTTCCCCGGCTGATCCAGTGTGTCTCCTCCTCCGTCTCCTCCTATCTCTCAGGTCTCTAGTACCCTTGGAGCCCAGAAGCCCGTGCTGTGAAGGTGACCCCAGTGAGGAGGAGGGCGACGGCCACTGGGAAGACGATGGCTGGCGCCCAGCTCTCCCAGACCCGCATCCCAGCGGTCGCCCTGTGGCTCCTGTGCGCTCTCGGCCTCCCTGACACCGATGCGGGGCCGCCTCCCATGCCCCCCGCGCTGCGGACTGGAGACGCCTGTCTGGACCGCTTTACCCCCGGGGTGTTCGCTTTCGTGCTCAACACTGAAGCCTCAGTCAGCAACGGGGCCACCTTCCTGGGATCCCCCACCGTGCGCCGCGGCCGCGACTGCGTGCGCGCCTGTTGCACCACGGAGAACTGCAACCTAGCGCTGGTGGAGCTGCAGCCCAAGGGAGGGGAGGACGCTATCGCCGCCTGCTTCCTCTTCAACTGCCTTTACGAGCAGAACTTCGTGTGCAAGTTCGCGCCCAGGGAGGGCTTCATCAACCACCTCACGCGCGAGGTTTACCACTCCTACCGCGAACTGCGGACCCAGGGCTTTGGAGGTAAGGAGCGGGTGCGGGGATGGATTGGTTTGGGGAGACTCAGAAAAGGGGCTGGTTATAGAGTCCTGGGAGAGGCAAGCATCAGAAGAGAGTTAATGAGAAGAGTCCCGTTCTACCTCTACTCCTCCTTAGAAGTAAGTAGTATAAACAGTAAAGGACAGGCTAGGTGAGTGGGGAGGGGTGACATCTTAAAGCCCAGACTTGCTCCTGAATTCAGGGTGTTGAGTAAGCTGGTGTTCTGGGATGTGTGTATGGGATGGAGGGTGTAGCTCCTCAGGATTCTTCACTTCTGGCCCTGATATGCCTGGTGACTAGTGCCTCCCCCCCACCCCCCCACTGGCCAAGTTCGGTCAGAGGCACCTTGAGGCCCTGTCAAGTGACCCTGGTGAAGCAGAGTCTCCTCCTCCCTCCACTGCTGGACTTGGGACTGGTTAGCGTCTCTCTCTAAACAACCTCCCCACCCCACCCCATCTTTTGGCATTTGGTGGTCTGGGGAAAACTGCCAGACTCCAGAGGCTAAAGAACAAGATCAGTCTGAGGTTGACCCAAAAGGGGACAGGGCCCGTGTTGTGGGCACAGTAGCCAGAGGCTCTGGGGCGGGGGGGGGCAAGAAGGGTTGCTGGGTGAGTCAGCTCACTGGTGTATATACTTGGTGGGGGGAATGTCAGCTGTGCCAAGTTGTCTGCTCACCTTGTTTACTTCCGGGGATAAGAGCAAAGTGGGGGCCTAGACTCCTCCTCTTTACTCCTGGGCCCTTCCAGAGACCTTTGTTCTCTGTTCTCTCCACCTGCTGTTCTGGCCAGGTGGGACTCCAGGACAGGGATGGGTCACAACTGATAACCTCTCTTAGCACTTTATAGCTTACTGATTGCTGTGACACTCGACCTCTCACTGAGGCATCGTGACCACTCCTGAAAATTGTGCTATTAGTAGTCATCCCACTTTTCAGGTTAGGAAACTGACTCCCATGTTAAACAATTTGTCCGAGATAACGCTGACCATAAATGGTAGACCTGGGACTCAACTCTAGGCAGAACCTCTAAAAGTCCTGTGCTGTTTTTCACACAAGACAACCTTTTCGGGAAGAAACCTGTCTCTGACCCAAGACAGCCCAGTGGGTAACATAACCAGAGTATGGGGGTAGTTTCAATTCTGAAAAGTGAAGAAGGGACCTCCTTCTCCAGCCTTTTCCTGAGCCAGTGTCTCTCCCAGGTTAAGGGCCCACTCTTCTCCCTATCCTTCCAGTAGCTCTCTGGGATCTCTGAGGAGATTCCAGGAATGGGTACCATCTCCTGGCCAGGCTGGGCCATCAAGTCCCACTGGGCCAAGGCCTGAGCCTGTTCCGCAAGGAAGTAGCAGAGAGTGTAGGTGGTGATGACTCTAATTGACCTGAGCTGTCGGTGCCCTTCCTGCTTTGACAGAGGCCCCATGGGAGTCTCACTCCTATGCCAGTAGTTAAAACTCTGAGGTCTGGTCAATGAGCAGAGCTGAATGGGGCCACATGGTCTCGGGACCAGCCTTCTTCATCTAGAAATCCCCCAAATTGGCTTGTTTGGCACAAGACAGGGTAGAGTGGGGATTTCCTGGGCATTGAGGGAACTGGGTAGGACTTGGGCTGAGTGTGAGCTCCAGGCCATTTTCAGGGTGTTGCAGTGCTTTGGGGAGTGGGAAAGCTGTGTGCTGTCAAGGAATCCATTTTTAGCTAAGTCCAACTAGAGAGGTGTGGGGTGGGTAAGAGCAGGATAAGCAAGGTGGGCTGGTGCTCAGGGCTTTTAAACCTTTGTTTCTTGTATTAAGTGGAGAAATCCTCCCCAGGATGAGTTTGTTCCCCTTTCCCTGCCTTTGGCCAGGCCAGTCTAGTCCAGATTCCTGCGGCCTTCTGAGCACCCTGCTCCTTCCTTTTCTCCTGCCCTCCCCCTCTTTCTGTTGGAGGAGTGGCTTAGAAGGTGGAGGCGCTGTTTGCCCGGAGATGTTCTGGGGCTTGGCAGCTGGGGGAGGGACTGGCTTTATTACCACTCTGGCCCTTTGCTCTCTTGGGGGAGGGAAGAAGAGAGTGGTAGGGCAGGGCATTTGCCCCTTGCTCCTGGGTACTGGAGCTTAGAGAGGACCAGCTCTGTGGGGGTGGACATTGCTGATTTGGCCCAACATCTGATACATCACTCTGACTGCCACTTCCACCTTGGGGGCTGATGCGGGGCTAGCTTGTCTGTCTGCTAGGTAGACTGCCAAGAAGTCTGTCTCCTCCTTTCAGACAGCTGATTACTTTCTGAAAAATGCAAGGAGAGAGGAACAGGCCCATCCCAGCTCCCTGTCTCTTTTGCTTTGTCTCTCAGAGGTCCCCTTAGGGCTGGCCTATGTTGGCCCTCTCCTGATCTCCAGCCAAGCCAGACAAGCATTTTCATTCTCTGATCTCCTGGTCTTATTTTCCCTCAATCCTTGAAACCCAGATCTTCTTTTCTCATTCTTGTATACATCTGCAGCATTTGACATGTTATTTTGTGGAAGCTCTGCCCTCCCATCCCCTTGCTGTCACTGTGTGTCCTGGTCTTCCCACCTCCCTCTGTGACCACTGCGTGTGAGCCCTGCATTGTACCTGCTTTCTCTGCCTCATCGAAGAGGAATCCCTGTGACTCAGCCTCCAGTTCTTATCTATTTACCTTCTCTTCTTCCTTTGAGTTCACTCTTACATCGGACATACTCTCTGTAGAGCCTCTGTGGAGGGCAGTTTGGCAATATCTATCAAAGCCGTCAATGTATATGACCGCAGCACAATTCCACTTGTAGGAATTCATTTTGCAGCTATACTTAGGCATGTGTAGAACAATTTACCAGCCAGTTGTTTGCTGTAGCATTGTTTATAACAGCAAAGAATGGGAAGATCTTGATGTCTGTCAATATATCCTATAAACAAATCTTGCAATAAATAAATTGGATACTGTGATGAATTTAAAAATAATAATAAACCCTGAGGCAGTATGGTTTAGTTCTTAGTACGGAGGGAGGAAGAAGGGTGGATGGATCTAAAGAGGAGACTGGTGGACTGGTTAAATAAGTTGTAAATTATGGTATATTCATACAATAAGTACCATGCAACCAAAAAAAGAGGGGGGGACTCTGCATTGCTATGGAATTATTTCTAAGATATATTATGAGAAAAGAACTTGCATGCTTATGAATGCAATACTACCTTGATATTTACACACACACATATGACTTGATGCCTCTAGAAAGAGGAACCGGGGGTTAAGAGGAAGAGGGACTTGATTCTCATAACCCTTTTGTACTTTTTGAATTTTATATCATGTACATCAGTGGTCCCCAACCTTTTTGGCATCAGGGACTGGTGCTCCTATGAGAATCTAACGCCTGATCTGAGGTGGAATTGAAGCAGTGATGCTAACGCTGGGGAGCAGCAGCAAATACAGATGAAGTTTCATTGACTTGCCTGCTATGTGTCCCGGTTCCTAACAGACCACAGATTGGTACCCGTCCTGTGCCTAGGGGTTAGGGACCCCTGATATCTATGTATAACCTAAGCTAAAAACAAAACTCCCGAGATTATAAAAGCAGTCAAAATTACATTTCTAAGAAGATGAGTGATCTGCAGCATGGTGTTTCAGAGAGAGAATGAACTGTAGAGTCAGAGAGAACAGGGTTCAAATCCCAGCTCTGCTGTGTAGAAACTGAGTGGCCCTGGGTAAGTCATTTAACCTCTGTGGTGTCAATTTTCTCATCTGGAAAGAGGAGCGAGAATGCAGTTGTAGCAGGGTGGTTAGGAAGGTAGGTGATGTAGATCAGGGGTCAGCAAACCTTCTGTAAAGTTTCAGATGATAAATATTTTAGGCTTTGGGGACCTACAGTCTCTGTCATAACTACTCAGTTCTGCTGTTGTAACGTGAAAGCAGCCATCCACAATATGTAACTGAGTAGGCAAGATTTGTTGGACACAAATTTGAATTTTAAATACTTTTCACTTGCCACAAATACTATTCTTTTGAATTTTTTCAACCATTTAAAAATGTACTAGATGGTGGGCTGGATTTGGCTGTGGGCCATCATTTGCCAAACCCTGATGTAGATGATGCAGGTAAAATACTTAGCATGGTACCAAGTACACATCCAAAAGTGGCAGCTTTGTTAACAATTATGACTCCAGATCTATCTCCAATCCTGGCCTCCCTGGAGCTCCCACTGCAAATGTCTCCTCTGGATGGTCATCCCTCCCTCAAATTTAAGTTCTCTGTGACCGAATCCACACATTTCCACTGGTTCCCCTTCTGCCTGTCCCCTGGCTCTTTCTCCCCAGTTCTCAGCATCCATCAGGCACAGAAGCCTAAAGCATCTGCCCAGCATTGTTTCTCACATCCTTTTTCCATTCCCTTAGCTGTCCCTTAATTCAGACCACTCCCGTTGCATCTGCCCTGACCCACTTGCACTGGTCCACTCACCAGCCTCCTTGGTCCATTCCAAACATGGATAAACAGCTGCTGCCCAGAGCTCAGGAGTGCCTCTCCTAGCCAGGCCCTTGGTCTCTGCCCTAGCACTCCTGGACCTTGATCATGCATCTAGGAGGTCAATGTCTGGTGCAGCCAGGACTTCTAGGACTCTACACCACTTCCCATGGCCAGTATCTGTCCCCTTCATGTACCACTCGTTAAATATTTGAACATCACTCGTGCTGTGTCCACATGCCCTGGCCCAGCATTTAGGACCCTTCGAGGTCTGTTCAGGCCAGTTGGTCTCAGTGTTACCAAACAGGCCTTGCAAATTTCCAACTCCTTGCTTTGGCTCCTCATATTTTCTGTAGTCGCCAACAACAGCACATTTTTCGCCACAACCGAACAAATAAAAACAAAACGAAAAAAATCAAAAAAATCTTTTCTCCCTTCTTCAGAAAGTTTTTCCTTATTTCTGTAGTCTGTGAGAGCCTTTCCATTCTCTGAATGTCCCCTTCCTTATCCTGTACACATACAGCATACTGCTTCATCTCATTGGGTCTTTTCTCCCATGTCATTTCATGTCATTGGGTCTTATTTACCCAACTGGACTGTAATCTCCTCAAGGACAGCATATTAATTTTCTGTGGCTGCTGTAATTATTACAAAGTGGGTGACTTAAAACAACAGAAATGTATAGTCTCACAGTTCTAGAGGCTAGAAATCCGAAATCAAGGTGCTGGCAGGACCACGTTCCCTCTGAAGACCCCAGGGGAGAATCCATCCTTGCCTCTTCCAATCTCTGGTGGCTCCAGGTATTTCTTGGTTTGTGGCTGCATAACTCCATTCTCCGCCTCTGTTTTCACACAGCCTTTTCTTTTCCTTTTTTTTCCCCTCTAGTTACTCCCCCACTTCCACCCCTGACCTATGGATGTTGCCAGTTTCCCTTTAAGAACTGGATCTCTGAAGGCGGGGCGTCTCCTCCCACACGCTCCCTGGTGCCCTGGAGGCCCAGGGCTGCACCTGGGGTACGAACCCAAGACCTTCTGCGAGTAAAACAGACGTGCTAACCACTACACTATGCAGTCACCCCCCACACAGCCTTTTCTTCCTTTACTCTATGTGCTCCTCTTCTGTCTTTTATAAAGACACTCATCATTGAATTTAGCACCTACCCAGGCTAATCCAAATGGTCTCATGTGGAAATGCTTAACTCAATTACTTCTGCAAAGACCTTTTTCCAAATAAGGTCACATTCACGGGTTCTGGAGGTTAGACATGGACGTATATGTTGGGGGAATCACCATTCAACCCTCTACAGGCAGGAATCCTGCTTTGTGCTTGTTTCGTCTCCAGCCTCTAACTGAGATGGGGGTGAGGGGGTCCCTCAGGCACAGGCACTGTCTGAGGGAGAGCATGGTTACCTCGGGCCCTCTCATAACTGGAGGCAGAGTCTGAGGTGGCAGAGGCACCCTCTCCTTGTGGCCACTCACCCTGGGACACCAAGACTTGCCACATTGCTACCTGGAGACTCTGTGCTTAAGGCTTCTATCAGCAGCATTTGGGCAGCAGAGAGAAGTGATAGGTGTTAATTACACATTTACTTATTTGGCTTTTCACAAATATTGTTACTTTAACTTTTTTAAGCAATTAGTATAAGACCTGATTATTGTAGAATATAAGAATAAGCTCTCGCTAAATATATATATATGTATATATGTATATATATACATATTTCTTTCCTAAATGGTATCAGATGGCACATGCTATTCAGTAATTTATTTCAGAGAGTAGGTTTTACAACATAAAAATGTCTTTAATATACCAAAGACAATATATCTAAATAGAGAACAAGAATATGGTTTGGTTACAGGCTCCCGCCTGATTCCCATGTTGGTTGCCGAGCCTTAGATTGGTCTAAGTGTGACCCAAACTGCCCCCTGCCCCCAGGAGAGATCTAGTCCATTCGGTGACAGTTGACCTTACCTCACCTTCTGTCCCAGGGTCCCGGATCCCCAAGGTCTGGGCAGGCATAGACTTGAAGGTACAGCCCCAAGAACCCGTGGTGCTGAAGGGTGTGGAGAACACAGATTGGCACTTACTGCAGGGTGACACGGACGTCAGGGTAGAGGTGAGACACTGGGCTGGCTCCCTGACCCCACTTCAGCTCTCCAGGGCTCCCTTTCTTTCTGGGGCCATAGGCCAAGGTGGACAGAAGCTGAGGATACATTTAATACCAAATGCCTCTGCTCTCCCAGGTGGGTTGTGTGGCTGGGAGGGCCTGGGGCAGCCCAAGGGCATCAGGGGGTCCCAGACTAATGGCTACTTCTATGTATAGAGGAATGATCCAGACCAGGTGGAGCTGTGGGGACTCAAAGAAGGTATCTACAAATTCCAGCATGCAATGGCCAGCTTAGACCAGCCAGAGAGCATGACCAACGTCACGATCACAGTCACCGTGCTGTCCACCAAGCAGACAGAAGGTGAGGGGAAGGGTGGAGAGGCAGCATCTGGAGCCACCCACCCCCTCTGTTCATTGGCCCCTTAGGCCCCCCTCACAAGCTTTATTCCCCCCAGACTATTGCCTCGTACCCAAAAAAGTGGGCCGCTGCCGTGGTTCCTTCCCCCGCTGGTATTACAACCCCACAGAACAGATCTGCAAGAGTTTCGTTTATGGAGGTTGCTTGGGCAACAAGAACAATTACCTTCGGGAAGAAGAATGCAAACTAGCCTGCCACAATGTACGAGGTAGGCCTTTGCTGGGTAGCTCTGAGGCTCAGGTGACTTTCCTCCAGGGTGAGTGGTCTCTTCACCAATCAGGGAAGTGGGCATGAGAGTCCCCTATTCCCTGTCAGCACATCCTTGCTGAGGCCTGGCGCTGCCTCCTCTCACTTCTCTGTTTTCTCTTTCCCAGGCCCTTCCATAGAAAGGAACCATCCAGGTGGGCTTTGCTTCTTTTCCTATTCCCTTCACCCTTGCCAGGTCTCCAGCCCATAACATGTCCATGCCCTTGACCAAGCTGCTTTTGCCCAACCCATTCCTACTCTCATAGTATGTGAAAGGACCACAAGCACCCCACCCCTTGCAGCCTAGCATCCATCTATCAGGATATCTGCCCAGTTTGTGTATAGAAGGGTATGGATTGGGGGGGCGGGGTGAGAAGGAAACAGGACATGTCATGATGCTGTGTTGGGGTAGAGAGGGCCAGGTAGATGGTGGACCCTTGGTACTTTCTGGCCTCTGCTGGAGCCTGACCTTACCCCCTAACCCATCCTGCCTCCACCCAGTGTGCTCTGGCACCTGTCACCCTCCTGAGTTCAACTGTAGCGATGGCTGCTGCATTGACAGCTTCCTGGAATGTGATGGCACTCCCGACTGCCCTGACGCCTCTGATGAGGCCACCTGTGAAAAATGTGAGGCCTGGGAGATGGAGGGGCGGTGGGCTGCAGAGGGGGAGGTCCTGACCATTTACCCTGCACCAATGAGAGACCCTTGTTGGGCCTGTGCCTCTGACCTTTCTTCTTTGCAGACACCAATAGCTTCGATGACCTTCAGAGATTTCCTTTCCCTGGTGACAAAGGTGAGATTCCCCCCAGGTATACCCTGGGTCATGGCAGATGCTGGCACTGCCATCTTCACTTATCCCATTAGCATGCCGAAAGGTTTTGCTGTGTGTGCTTGGCTGTGGGCTGTCAGCTCTCTTCTTTGGCTGTGTTTCCCAAGTATCAGCCAGCCTCTTAACACCTTCAGAAATTCATGCTCACATATCACTAAGGTGGTGTTTACTTAATTTTTTTATTAATCAATTACTTTTTTAACTTAATGTATTAAAAAGAAATTTCGCATCACTATCATAAACGGAAAGCCACTATTACATGCCACAAACTGAGATTGACTATTAAAATGAGTATAATGAAACAATGATATAAATTTTAGCTGGACATTGTTGCCCGCCAAGGCTGAGATCACGAACTGCTTTTGTTAAAAGGTAGACCATCTAAGTCTACGGCCATGCTACCCTGAACAAGCCCAATCTTGTCTGATCTCAGAAGCTAAGCAGGGTCGGGCCTGGTTAGTACTCGGATGGGAGACCACCTAGGAAGACCAGGCGCTGTAGGCGTAAAAAATAAAAAATAAATAAAAATAAGAGATTGTAAGCTGAAAAGGTCTTTGCAATCTGTGAGATCAACCAACGGTTGCCTTGCCTAATAAAAGAAAAAACGGTAGACCATCTAATGCTAGAGAGAAAACAGATCTTGACACAATCAGAAAAGCCAAAAGAAAATTGAAATAGTTATGTGAGTCAGTGTAGTTTATTGCTGGGCCTAATTGTCTAGCATTTGTCTTCTTTGCTTCTGGCAACACTGCAGATAGGCCAGATGTTTCCCGGGCCTTCAAGGTTCTCACTAAGTCACGGCCATCCTCAGCATGACATGGGTTGGGAGAGGGCTAACAGCAACCATGTGGAGCCTGGCGGTTGATAGCAGGGAAGCCCCCATGGACTCACTCACCCCTTTGCCTGCTCCTTATTACCCAGGGCACTGTGTGGACCTGCCAGACACAGGCCTCTGCAAAGAGAACATCCCACGCTGGTATTACAACCCCTTCAGTGAACGCTGTGCCCGCTTTACCTATGGTGGTTGTTATGGCAACAAGAACAACTTTGAAGAGGAACAGCAGTGTCTTAAGTCCTGTCATGGGATCTCCAGTGAGTGTCATGGCATTCGGGGGATGGAAAGATGGGGAGGGAAAAGACTTAGCAAGAGCACCTTGCTCTGTCCAAGGCCTGGGCTGGTCACATGGCCTCTTCAGAGTATCCTCAGAATACTTAAAATGGGGGTGGGAGAGGATGGCAGTGGGAGGTCTGGGGCACTTGGGAGCAGGTGAGTCTCAGCCCTTAGTATTGACTTCTCTCTCTCCCATCATTTGTAGAGAAGGATGTGTTTGGTCTTCGGCGGGAAAGCCCCATTCCCAACGTAGGTAAGCCCTGGTCTGCCCTGTTACTAATGAGTAGGTATCAACTCAAGGATCAACTACACACAGTTGGTTGTGACCACTTAAACCTGTGTTGAGAAGGATCCTGAGGTTGGCCAGAGGGACAGTCAATAGTGATACCTGCTATGGTAAGGAAGGAAGCACAGCAAAGTGCATGCTAAATGTTTGCCATCAGTCCCAGGCTTTTCCCCATGCTAACTGCAACTAGAGCAACCCAGGGCTGAGACCCCAGGCCCATTAGAATCTGTCCCACTGAATTCCCAATGGAGCCATTCAGCTGCTCATTTGCTGAACATCCTTCCACATTTGTCATCCATCTTACATTCTTTTGATACTGAGTAGGGGGTGGGCATCAAAACTGAGCAGGCCCTGAGAGCTCTTTATTTGGTCCTTTCTTCCCCCAGGCTCCGTGGAGGTGGCCATTGCAGTGCTCCTGACTACCTGCATTGTGGTGATGGTTGCCATCCTGAGTTACTGCTTCTTCAAGAACCAGAGAAAGGACTCCCACAGATACCATCATGGCCACCGCCACCCCCCACCCGCTACCCCCACCAGCTCCACCATCTCCACCACCGAGGACACAGAGAACCTGGTCTATAACCATACCACTCGACCCCTCTGAGCCTGGGGCTTGCCTTGGCCCTTCAGCCTGTGGCTCTCTCCAGCTCTCACCTGGCCCTGCTTCCTCCTGTCAAGACGAGGCCTGGGCTGGTAAAGACTTTGGGATCAGACCCCTCCAGCCTGTTTCCCAGGCCCACTCTGCCTAAGAAGCCAGGGTTCTAGCCTCTCTCAGATATAGCTCAGTTAAGCTCAGGCTGCTTGTTCCTGAGAAAGCTCCAGCATCCGAGAGGAGCAGAAAACCTTTGAGCCAGGACTCCCACACACAGATGGACCTGCCTGCCTAGGATTTCAGAAGAAGTGGGAGTTTTGTTTCCTGGTCAAACCTGCCTGCCCCACACCATGGTGTTGGGAAGGGGTCTGGGTGGTGTCAGAAGCTAGAGGCCCCAACCCTGTCCTCCAGAGCTACCTCTCCCACTCTGTACAGTCCAGAGCTGGGGGAAGGTCTTCCCTATATATTTTGTGCTATACAGAGTTCTCTTTTGTTTATTTAATGCCGTGAGGGTGAATGAGAGGACAATCTGACCTCTGCTGCCTCTTCTCCTTCCCCCAGGAGAGAGCCCCAACTTGGCCTGGCCTGGCCTGGCTTGGTCTTGGACTCAGATCCAGAGGTGCTCCATCCTCCCTGTACCTCCCAGGGCTCTTCAGCACCAAACCCCCAGCTGCTCTCCAACTTCCTACAGACCCCAATCCACCCACAGTGTAATAAAATGGTTTGTTCTGTGAGGCTTCTGCTTCTGCTCTGTGGGCCAGGAAAGGGACAGCTGCTTGTGGGGGAGATGTGACTGCCCAGTCCAACTGGTTCAGGCTTTGGCCACCCTGTTTAGCAGGTTTTCCCACCCTTCCCGAAACTGCCCCAGTCTTGGGTGGAGAGAAGTGCCAAGTTTGACCACCAGAGGGGAGGGGTGAGAGGGCCATAGAAGTAGGGGGCCCAGGGAAGCTGCAGTGCTGCTGTGTAGTATTTTTTCCTGGTTTGAGCCTGTCAGTAAGCCTGTTTGGTAGCTGGGGCAAGTCTTCATACCTGTGTAGCTGAGGATAGGAAGGGAAGGCACACAGGCTTGAGCCCTGGTTCTTACCCCAGCTCCCTTTAGTATGGGGGCTAGAGACAGGGGTCCCATCTGACCCAGGTCACCACTGTCTCCCCACCCTACCCAGAGAAGCCTTAGCTTCTTCACTGGGGTGTAGCTGCTCCCCAGACTTTGAGCTCCTACTAAGGAGCCTTTAGTTGAGGTATTCCACTCCCATGAACACCCCTCCCTTTTGAGCTACATCTTGGTGCAAAAAATAATAATAATAAAAATACAAAAAAAAAACCCCTTACAATTCATTTCTTCATTCAACAACTTATTTAGTCTCCTATGTGCCGGGTACTGCCAATCATTAGAAATTCAAGTTGCTGTCTTCACACACAGTGCTGTGATGAAGGTACTATTATCCTCGCTTTACAGGTTAGGAAACTGACAGCAAAGTTGAGTTCCCAAGGTCTTAGACCTGGAATAGGAGGATTGGATTCAAATCCTATGGCTCCAGAGTCTAGTTTTACAAAAGAGACTTAAATCGTGGCAAGTGCTATACAGGAAAAAGAAAGACGGCAGTGTGAGAAGTTGGGGCTACTTTTAACTGGAGTGCAACTAAGGTAAATGTGCATGAGTTACAAATGTACAGCTCATTGAATTTCCTTCACTGCACACACCCAGGAGGTAAGAACCCAAACAGAGAAGGAGACATTCCTATCACCCCAGATGGGCTTCCTTTTGATGGCTAACTTTTTCGTACCTCTGTTTTTGTGCCTGTCCTACTATCGGTCCAGACCACCTCCCACTTTCTCATCTTTCAGCCTAAGCTCAAGTTTCCCCCTCCCCTCTTTAATTCCACCCCCCATCCATCCCTGACCTATAGATCTTGCCGTTTCCCTCTCTGAAGGCGGGGTGTCTTCTCCCACAGGCTGGGGAGCACACTCAGGGCCTGGCATGGTCTGTGGCTCCATGTGGGGCGCAAACCCAGTACCTTCTGCATGTAAAGCAGATGTGCTAACCACTATGGAGCCACCCCTTAAGCTCGCGTTCTTATTCCCTCCTGCACACATCCAGGTGGGAGGCACTCTCTGCTTCACATTTATGTCTGTTAACAGGACCCTGTGCACAGAGCGCTCTCTTTTCCTTTCTGTTTACTACCTGTCTTCCTTCTGGGTTGAGCTCCTGGAGACACAGGTGGTATCTTAGTCATATCTGGGTCTCCAGCAGGCCACACTCCCTCTATGACCTTAGTAAATGGTAGTGGTTCACTACATGTTGAATAGATGGCAGGGAGTCAGACTCCAAACCCTGCTTTGGCTATTACCGTTTCATAGGGCACTGTATTTTTGCTTCCTACTTTACTAGCCACGCATCCAACTTTCAAGGCTCAAAACAGCCTCGCTCCCTCCCCTGGTCACACCAACACTGTCAATCAGTCAACTCCCATCAACCTTTGATTTTCTAAGAGCACTTCCAGGGCGGAAGTGATTACGCATTAAATTTTGCATCCTAATTCCTAGATCAGTGATCGACATAGAATAAGTGCTTAATAAGTGTCTGTTGGACCAAAGGGAACATCCTCCTCTTAGGGAGGGGTGAAGATGAAGTGAGACCTTGCAGGCAAAAACCCCAGTAAGATCCTCTGGGATGGAGGCACGGCTGAGTCACCTTCGGCAGAAAGAGTTGGAATCGCGCAGAGGCCCCTAGGGGGCGCGCTCATCGCCACTGGGCGCTATGTTCCTTGCTGCAAGGATTTGAGCCGAGTATCCCAAGCAGGTGTCAGATGTGAAGCAATGAAAGCTGAGATGCAGCCCCTGCTTTCCTGGAGTTACACCCTGGAGTCCTGGTAGAAGGAATGCAAATACTGTAACAAAACAATTTGGTTCCCAAACTGCTCGTCTCTGTGACTTCCCCAGCTGTCCTCTGTCTATCCTCACCCACATGACTCCCTTTCAGAACCTCATGCCTCCATTCCTTTGCACAGGCAGTTAGTTGCCTCTACCTCAAATGCATTTTACCCTTGGAAAGCTCCCACTTACCCCACGATCCAGCTCAGAAAACCTTCTCTGTTTCGCCATTCTGTTATACGGTACACAGGTCTGCTGCATACACATGGCCCATGTAATATATGTCCATCCTTATGTGGTTGAGGCTCCTCAGGGCAGGGATGGGGTCTTATTTGTCTCAGCATCTCCCATTTTGGTGGATATGAGGTATCAGACAAACGGCTATTGAAGAAAGAAGAGGTTGGTCAAGTCATAGATATTAAGAAGGAGATTGAGAAATGGCTTCCCGGAGGAAGTATAAAATGAGAAGAGCAGATGGGTGTCGGTGTTCCAGGCATAACAAAATCATAGTGAGCAAAAGCTGGGCATGGATCTTGTTTTGTTTGGGGAGCAGCAAGCTGCTCAGTTTGACTCAAGCACTGAGAGGGAAAGCTGGGAAGTTGGTGGGTAGAGGCTACATGGGTGGGCACTTGGGGATCTGAGCAGGGGAAAGGGTGATCCAAAGTCAGCTTTAAGGAATGGACAGAAAAGCAAG